GAATGATTGAAGTCGAATTCGGCAAGCGACTTGTCAACAGCAGCCATCTTCTTGTCCATCATGTTTGATGGATCCAACAGAGGAGTCGTCCTCGTTGTCGGAGTTGTCAGACTTGCGCTTGGCTACATGGTTGCATTCGCTTTCTTCTTGCGATCAGCCTTGACCGCGGCGTTGGAAACCTTCCTCATGAGGACAGAGAGTTCCTTCCTGGTGTAGGTCTTGGCGCCGTCGGACTTGCGTTTCCAAGTCCTGTTCTTGTTGTACGCTTGCTTGTTATCGTTGTCAGACGAGGACTGAGAGTTGGCCTTGAGCTTCTTCTAAGTCATGCAGTCAGCATTGTTGTGATGCTGGACTCGTGGAAGTCGCACCATTTTTCTTCGTTCTTGAAGAGTGGTCCGTTGGTTGCGAGTAGACTTGTACTTCTTGCTGTTGTTCTTCTTCCTAGGAGCTTGCTTGGCATCCACGCCCTTGCCAAAGTCTTCGGAGGATTCCATGCGTTCGCAGAATCCAATGGTTTCTCCGATAAGAGCTGAGAAAGGATCGAAGTCGTGTTCGTCGATCTTCTTCATCCACGAGCGTGGAATTCCATGAACAAACAATGTCAATGACTTCGTCATGGTTCAACGTTTGGTTGGGTCAAAAGGTGGTAGACGAGGAATTCATCGGCATTCATCCGACTGAGGTTGTTGACATAAGCCCGAGTAGACATATCAGCAGGCTGACGCATCTTGCGGCGAGCGAATGAAGCGTTTTCTTGCTTTTCCAGAGCCTTGTAAGGACAGACCGCTTCGATACAGGCATTATGCCAAACGTAATGTCAAAATCGTCCAAAGCAGGCTGAGCTGACCCGTTCCAGGCAGCCTGGAAACGTACTTGAAAAGCGGCTTCGTCTTCGCCGCCACGTACATCGCGTGAAGCAATCCCGTTGACTGCAATCTGGCGCAAAGCATTTCAACGTATTTCACGATGGCCTGCACAGCTAGATTCGTAACTGCTCTTTGCAGAGCTAGAAGTCATCTTCTTGAGGAGGTTATGTTTGTCGTTAGGCGTATCAATGGCGAGCCCAACGAGGACCTTCTCCATGCGTCCAGCCACTTGATGGTCTGACGTGGTGTCTCAGATCCGTTGATGATTTGGACCTTGAAGGTGGTCTTGCGCTGTTACCATCTGCTGGAACAGTGCGAAGTTTGTAGGTGTAGAGCGAGATCGTCGATTTTGCATTCATCGTCGAGGTCGATGAGAGGAAGATTGGGTTTGCCACGCAGCTTAGACTCGAAGCTGTGTTGCCGTCTTTTGCAATCTTCATGGTGAGGAGTAGGTTGAGGGTAGCTGAAAGCTATTTGTGGTTTGTTAAAAAAATGCAATACCGCTAAAAAGTAGTGTAAAGATCTTTCGAGTGTTTTTTGAGTTTGAGAGAATGAAGTTATGAGAGGATTTAAGAAAGCTATGAAACTATAACGAGAAGATCCACAACCAAAGGATCGATTAGATATCTGAACTCCCGCGGGACTATAGAGTGTGATAGAGTAGGTTGCGGTAGCATCCTAACTCACTCCACGATCCAAAAATCGGAACGCGTGGAAGTTTCGTCTAGCATTTATCTGTAGCGTGAAGTACTCCACGCTGGCTAAATATCTAGAGCGGTTATCATCAACCTAGTATGACTAGACGGTCATTGAGAACCCTGTCTCAATGACTATTCCGAGAGACTCAGTCATGAGTCGACTCAAACCCTATCTAGGTCGAGTCGCGAATAAGGCTAAGAGCCGTGTATTGCAGAAGTTAATAGAGAGCTGAGGGCACTCATTCACTGTGTCAATTGTCTTCCAGACAACTCGATAGAAAGAAGGTTTGGACAATCCGGCTATGTCGCAAACGTCCAAATAAGATCCACTGCCAACCAGCAATAGTAGTACAGACATATCTCTGGGAGTATGGGACACCTCTTTGTTGGCAAACGTCTCCTCACTAGAGGTCCTGGTAGAGATATCCAGTAGAATATCAAATGATTCTTTCTCCATTCTAAGACGTCTTGCAAAGGTTCCTCTTTGAGCATGCTTCTCACTGTATTGATTCCATGCTAAACGCTGGTCGTACAGAGACTTTGCCCTGTTGACTGGAAAAAGCTTCAACACACACACAATTAGCAGGGTTAACAACAGTACGTCTGCATCAACCGCCCCAGCGGTAGCGCTTAATTCCAAAAAGGAATCCATGACAGTTATTGTGGTCTAATTTTTATTACAAAGATACCATACTGTGGTGGCCACTCGAAGGACTATTATTGCCACTGTTATTGCCTATTTTGTGGCAGTAATGTCGACAGAGTCAGCATGCCCCATCGGGCAGCATGCTGACTCTGGCACATCATCTAATACTTAGAGACTTTATGGATACTTAGCTCCCGAAACTTTACCTTCGCAGCCCTTAAAAATGCTTCCATTATTGGCAAAGAAGGTGAAGCTTCGCCGTTGAGTCATGCTTGATGTCGCAGCTGACGTAACGGCGAAGGTGGCGAAGGTGCGAAACCTGATGTTAAGACCAAGCCTCAGAGGCCGACACAATCCTGACACAAGACGTAGACTGTTTCTCTGTGGTCTTACTGTTGTCGACTACAAAATTAAATGCTACATCTTCTAAAGGAAATTTAGAAATTTACCCGATTAGTACAAAGCATTATTTTTAGGGTTTATCCAATCCAGTTGGTAGCGTCTGCAATTTTGAATGTGCCTTATCTACAGCAAGACTACAGGAATCGCACAATGATGTCTAGCTGGAACATTGGTGATTCTTTCGGACTTATAAAAGCTCTCGGTTGATAAACTCGACACTGCTCACGTGGAATGATAAGCAGCCCATTGGTCATTTTATTCGCCTTGCAAAATCTTTGCAGTGGGGCTCCTCTTTTCTTGCATTCATTATTCATATCCGGCTCTCCATCATAAAAGCACACGCCAGATAGCTAGCTGGGACAGAGAAGGAAAGATGCTATCCCTCGCTAGCACCAGCCCGAACGAAGCTCTGAGATCGTCGGCGACAATGGACAGCCAAGACGAAGTCGTGCGTACACCGGACGTGGATAACGGAGGAATGATGAAGGATGCAACTGTCACTCGACCACCTAACGATGCCGGATTGAAAGGTCTCTTTTCGAAAGCTATCGACCAAATGAAAGACGAGGAGGAAGACGAGACTGAGCTGGATAATCGAAGTATATTGAAGGACACAACCACTGCCAAGAAGACGAAGGAAGCCAGTTTGAAAGGTTTCTTTTCAAAAGCAATAAAGCAAAAGCGCGACGACGTCGACGACGAAGACGCCACTGTAGTGAGCATGCTCAGTTTTGCCAACAAGGTTGCCTCCATGGCGGGGCTTCAACGACAGAAGGACAAGAAGGACAAGAAGAGGCAACAGAAAGAAGAAGACGATGCTTCAGAAACTCCCACCAGTCCTAAACCCACTAGAGTTGTTCCAATAGCAGCAGATGAAGGGGGTCTAGATGATTCAGCAAACCATTCAGTATACTATGACTTTGTGGTATGCTCTCACAACCAGATCTCAAAGTCTGATTCCACCAAAAGTCTCAGCAGGACACACTCTGGAAGCACATTGTCTAGTAGTGCTTCACCTGATGATCAAAAGACAAGTGTTCGACGGGGCAACAGTCAAACTAGATCTTCAGCAAGACGCAAGACCCTGCGATCCTCCAGGTTGGCCAATGACATGAGCCCGCGCCGCTCAACCAGGGACACGAAAGAAACTCTTAGGAACTCTACTGGTAGCAGGCGCTCCTCCAAGGCACGACGTGTCAAGTCCGATGGATTGTCCAGTTCCAAATCCTCACCAGCTTTGGGAAGGAGTGGCCACGGCCACAAAAGAGTGTCCTCAGATTCCACCATGAAAAGGACCAAACGTCGATCCAGATCATCCTTGACCTCTTTATCCTCTGACAAGAAGAGGCTTCTTGATGATGATGATGATCTGGATAGCAAGAGAAACTGGGCTCCTGCATCGGAGAAGAAAAGGAGCAGTCGCCGTTCTGGTAGCAGACCTGTTGGACTAGATGATTCAGGAATGTCTGGCAGCCGTCGGCGTTCCTCCAAGAAGTCGCCATCTCGCAATCTTGGCCGAGCTGAAGATGGGCGGCGAAGGTCCTCTCTGGCGGTCAATAGATACCAGGTTCAAGCTCAGCAGCTTGCAGCACAGCTTCTTCAAGAAGAGGACCAGGAGAAACCTGCTGACAATGTAGAGGGCGAGGAGCCCGGGACCGGTATCGTCAATGATGAGGTGGATCCTGAATTGGTGGAACCATCCGTGGTCAATGGGGATGATGCCGAGCCTGAATTGGCGGGGAAAGCCGGTGAGAAGACAAAAAAGAAGAAGTCCAGCAAGAAGAAGAAGAAGAGAGGCATTCCAAAGGGATCAAGTGATAAGGATATCTCCGATTTGGGTGCTGCAATAAAAAAGTCTTCATCAGCCGCCGGCATCATTGGGCTCCTGAAAGGAAAAACAAAAACAAATCAACCTGGGAAGGATTCATCTTCAAAGACGTCACTGAAACGCGCAAGTTCATACAGTGAGTAGTAAGGTCGCTGACTTGACCAAGGACAAGAATTAGACTAATCTGAAACCAAGGAGTCATTCGTTGATTCTGTAGTCTTGGAGTAACAAAAGAAGCAAGTTATAATCGACCAGAGTATTGGCAGAATGCTTGATAATTAATTGTATGCGTAGTCTAGGTGCATGTTTCAGTGCTTTCCCGCAGGATTCTAGCATGTCTCGGGCGGCGTTGGTTCACTGCATGATGTTAACCTTTGGCAACGAGACTCTTGTGGGTGATAGATCCTACAGCTACATGTAGTACGGCGAGCAAACCGTGGTGTCCCCATAAAACCCGCTAAAGGTGCAAATCTATCCTTGCTTCCTGGAGGACTCTCTGGCAGTGGTTGTGGAATGAGCCAGGATGCGAGCCGCCCGCAACAAATTTCTTAGCTAGTGGACCGTGTACCATTATGTGAGGTACACCCAGGCTCATCGGGCTATCTGATGGTGCTGCTGACTCTGACTCGACCACAAACCAACACAGCTCCAAGGCGTAACTATGGTACTGTGCTGGTTGGCCAGATACCGTGATCGAGCCGCTACATGACAAACTCGTACATCCTACATAACAACATACCACCCTACGGTAGCTACGGTAGCTAGTAGCTAGAGCTGTTTTTTAAAAAATACAGTAGATAGATCGATAGATCTACTAGCTAGCTACCGGTAGCGTACCGCTACTGAGCAGTAGCTTCCGCTTGCTGGCTATAGGGGTTGACGATGACTTAACCAGGGGAACTCCTGTCTTCTTTGAGCTCTTCTTTGTGACCAAAGAGGTGTTTCCCATTTCGGCCAAGACTGCCCGTACTACCAGTGGTCTCGGTACGAAAGACAAAAATGAAGTTTGGTAGTTGCGGTAAAGCCATTCGTGTTCAAGAGTATTTTACCGCAACTTACTGTACTATTATAAAGCCTTTTCCAATGGACTCATTCGACTCGACTCCACCACACAGAGAAAAGATCTTCCGAAGTCAACACTGGACTGACCATCATCAGACCATCAGGAAGCCATTCCCATCGGGATCACTCTGGAGGATGATATCAGGTCAGTGGACTTGTCCGGACGAAGCAAAGAGCCCAACACTCTCTCCAGTGTCTTCCTCAGACCGCATTGTTGTTCAAACCGAGAAAGCAGAAAGCAAGACATGTTAGCACTCACTATGACCCACCCTAATGAAACCCTGGGATCGGTAACAGAGCCGGAGAATGGATCTCTGATAAAGCACTCCACGGCTGATACTCACGCCAAGTACCTCGTTGGAGTCACAGGTCTCTTTGCGAAAGCTACCAAACAAACGCGTGATGACGAAGAGGGGAGGAAAGCAAAGCCCCGGCCCTCAACAGTCGCAATTGGCATGGGCCTCTTCACATCTGCGATTGCTTCCATGGCAGGCCTTCAAGGCGGGAACACTATAGGTAATGAGGATGAGGATGAGGATGAACTGGAGGACGAATCCCAAGAAGAGATTGCACCGGATGCTCCTACTCTTCCGAGCCCCCAACGAATCATATCAGTGGAAGACAAGGAGGAGCAAGAGGAAAAGAAACGCGATAGCAACCAAGACACCATGGCAAGTTCTCAACGAGGCATTCAAAGGTCTAGAAGCGCCAAAGGTGCTCGCAGGAGGAGCCGCTCCAGAACTGGGTTGTCTCGTACTTCATCAGACAGGAAGCCGCGCATGCAGAACGGGAACGGTCGTCATCGCATTTCCAAGAGCTCTTCACGGAAAGGCACGAATCTTCGGTGTGCCAAGCCTACGACGAATGATGACATGAAAGAATCTCTCAATTTTAAGGGTTCCAGGTCAAGCGTTGACCTGAAAGAGTCCCGCAGGGTTTCCAGGAGTTCCAGCCGGTCATCATTGGAAGATAGAAGGAGAACTCCTCGCCATTCCAAGCCGACACTTGGATTGAAAGTCTCCAGGTCCACTCCAACTCTTGGCAGAACTGGCAGCAGCAGCAAACGCTTGTCCTCAGAGGGAGTAAAGAAAAGAACGGAACGTCTATCCAAGTCGTCATTAAAGCCTGACAACACGTTTGAGGGTGACAGCAAGGATATGAAAAACTGGTGTGCCTCGGAGAAAAAGACAAGGAGCAGCAGTCGTGGATCCGCAGCACTTGCATTGGTAGATGGTGATGCAGGAAACGGGGGATTGGAGAGAGTGATAGGCAGGCGTCGTGCCAACAAGTCGTCATGCCGTGGTCGAAAAGAGGACTCTTCCTTGCTCGACAGGAACACCAAAAGCAGCCACTCAGCGTGTCGTTCCCCAATCCGCAACCGCATTTCAAGCCATGGTAGTGGTGGGCGGCGAAGTGGTCGCTCCTCTGCGGCATCCAGCAATGCAGCCCGCCTTGCGGGCAGACACCAGATTCAGCTAATGGTGCAGGTACAGCAGCGAGCCCTGCTTGACTTGGAGATGGAGTGCGACGAGAGTAAGAACAGCGACGATGAAAAGCCCGCTCTTGCCAAGAATACGGTTGATCCCAATAAGGTTGATTATACTTCGCTTGACCGGGCATCAATTCATGAGTTGCTGAAACAGTGCTCTGATCATGGTCCTGATCACGATCCATATGATACCGGTGCAAAGATGACACGGTCTTCATCGAGCTCAGGCTTGATCGCAAGCAAACCAAGGCACCGCCGGCGCATTTCAACACGGATGCCATTGAGCATTCGCCCAAGCTCCTGCAGTGGGAGGCTAACTGACTTGGCCGGTGACGATTTGGACGACGACAGCACGGACGCTTCGGACGAGTTTGCTTCGTAGTAAAAGAGTAGAAGCCAACTTTTATGTCAAGGTTTCAACCGATCGATCCATTTGAATGTAGTAGATGACATTGTGTGCTTTGAGAACCTGAATGGAAACCGGACCCCGATGTTCGAAGATCCAGGTCTCAATCGGGGTCCGTGTTTGGGACCATTGACGGGCGTGTTCTTATCCAGGCCATGGCTTTGCTTCAACGTATATTTCTTGTACCGCTGTGCCACAGCCGCTCTTTTTGTGCGTGTCGTTGGAAAGTCGGCTGATGCAACGACGGTACAAGTCTGGCTGGGTCTCAGGTTCCGTTTTTCTGTTTCTTGCGCCCTTCAGTCGGTAACGCAGCTTCCCCCGGATTCACGGCGCCGCCTCATCTGCCATATCGTACGGGTAGGTTCGCGTGAAGCAGCTCGCCCGATTGGACTCAAAGATAAGAATTGCTGCGGTCTTCTTTTGATACTGCCACTTTGAACCATGCTACACTATCATGCCGGTCGGAACCGGAAGGGAGCGAAAGGGGTCGTTTATTTCGAACACTCCTTGCCTACGCTGACTAACTGCAGGCTAAAGTGAAGTGAATGATCACCATACTGGTGGGTACATGTACATATGTATTACTTTCCTTTTTGTATATTGCCGCTACGTACTGGAGTGTAGTTTTAAGTAGTGTTGACTTTTTGTTGCTTGCTGGCTCAGCTCTTGCGATCATCCAACAAGGGGCGATCATCCACCAAGGGCCACCCCGGAGTCCGGTGATGATTGAGAACGGGCATGGAAAAGGGAAAGAATACATTGGTGGTCTTTTGATACTCCTTGTAGTTGGGTCGTCTTTGAATGGACCTGGATTCCGCGGGTGCCGCTCCCGTCCAATAGAGGAGACAATCGTAAAACAAACGAGGCGCCGAGATGAGGACGAGCACCACTCCCAATTTGGCAGTAGCAGGTTGTTCGGGTGACATCATCAAATCCATGGCGGAAGGAATGGCCATGCCGACAATGGATAGCCAACAAGTCCATTCAAAAAAGTACTACATAATATAGAAAGCAAAACAATCGTGAGTCGAGTGGTATCCTTCCTGGCTCAATCTATATTCGGCATTCTCTCCAGAACAAACTTAACTTACGTTTGGATGTCGACTGAGTCCCCACAGTACGTATTTGCCTTGATTATGGGGAGGCTGAAATCCCAATACAATATCCTTGTAGTGTTCATTTCCTTTTTTATTGGCTTCCAATTCCCACATTTTCTTGGACACGTCGGCCCAATTTTCCATACACCAGGAAACCAACCACCCCATGGCTCCCAAGACTTCCAGTGGATGGACGGTAGTCCGAGGATTGGTGGCGGCCAAAAAGACGGGTGCCGCCAGAGGAACCGAATTGGCATATGCTTGGAGGAGTGTATCGTGCTGTTGTTTGAGAGTCCACCCCGCGGCGCCTCCCGTTTGAGAAATCCATCGATCCTTGGCATATTGGTAACGGGAAAAGAATTCCTTGGGCCATCGATAGGGATACAGCATGTGCAACGCCCCTAGGAACATGCGCAGACCGTGAAGGAACAAGACACCACTGAGCAATCGGATCCGCGTATCACTGCCGCCGTCAGCATGGTACGCCACATTGAGACTCAACAAGACCAATCCCGCCGGCCATCCAATATCGACATAACTCATGTGGCCAGTCAGTAGCGCGGGAAGTTGTACCACCGGAATAAAGAGCATCACTTGACGAGTCGCGTTCAACAGAGCGACTTGTCGCAAGGCATCTCCCCATGGACCTTGCACCGTTACAAACCAAATGCCCAGACTGTACAGAATGGGGTATTCCAGTGGATGCAGCTTGGCGCCTGGCTCAATCAAACGGTGGAGCTTTTTCAGGTTGAAAAACACCGATTGGATATTGCTGTTACTATTAGTACTACTCGACGACATGGTGATTGTATAATAGCTAGCTAGCTAGCTAGTAGCAGATCAGCAATCAATCTTCAATCTCAGGTCAGGTGTTGTGGAGATAACATCGAAAGAAGACTCTTCCTGTGTCCATCCACTGTCCTCCAAGAGAAAAAATGAGAGGACGCCTCGTGTCATGATGGACTGCTTTTTGACTTTCTGACGTTGGAGTCACTGATTGCGGGCTAGTCCCGTGAGCCTTTCCAAAGGCTAGATTTTTCCACGGTTTGGCGCCATCATTGTTGTCGAAGCTGTTGATACGGTACATGCTGCTTTTGCAGACACACATGCATGGTCCAGTTCAAAGTAATAAGTAACGAGGCAAGTGCCATTGCACATCTCTAGCTAGCTAGATAGATACCGGTAGTCAGGTTTCATGTTCGAAGCACATCGCGTCAGTATTGAACCAGGGTGGAAGTCACGCCTCTGAGGAGTGCATGCTTGAAAGGAAAAACGATAAACTTGTTTTCGAAGCAAGGCTCCAAACAATTGGATGAGCCGGAAGCTGGCGGAAGTCAGAATAAAGGTAGGCGGCCCAAAAGAGGAAAAGATGGCTTTCTAGCTAGCTAGTAGAGTAGCCTACTAGATACTGGTACCGTTGCTCCCAAGAAGCCCATTGTTTATTTCCTATTTACTTGCTTGCTAGCTAGCATTATTAATTTGATAGCTATCCGGGTAGCCAACTGTTTATTACCTACTAGCTAGAAATGGGTTCTATCAATCTACTTTCTAGCTAGCAGCAGTAGCAGTACTAGCTAGCTAGCTACACATTGTAGCCATCCAGCCCAATGATTCCATTCCAAACTCGTTAAGGGTTCATGCGTTCTGCAGCCTGAATATTCTTTTCTAAAATCGTATGATATGTCTACTCAAACCAATCAACATTCACAATCACATCCACAGAGTAGGTTGGAACAATCAAAGTCGATGCAGCACTGAAGATCTTCCCTGCCATAAGAGCAAGAGGAATTTTGAAGGAAACAGAGCTCTTCTAGAGTGGAACCTACCAAACCAGGACAGCCAGAGATGTTTAGATAGCCTAGGCTACCAGGCAAGGAATCAAAAGGAAACAGTCCACTCAGGGAGGGCGGGCTCACTGCAAGATCCAGTTCTTGTAGGTTTCCAAGCTGCCCCAATTCAGAGATGACCAAACCACTGAAGGAATTGTTGCGAAGGTTCAGCAGTTCAGCGTCCGCAGGGAGTCCATCAGCCCAATTTCACTGGGAATGGCACCAGAAAAAAAACAGTCATTAACCCACAGACCAGACAGTTGTGTCAGCAATCCAATTTCGCTGGGCAAGGGTCCATCCAATGAATTGCTTCTCAGACTCAGTTCGGTCAGTTGTGTCAGCAAGCCAATTTGAGTTGGCAGAGAACCGGAAAGGGAGTTTTCCATCAAGTTCAAGCTCGTTATTTTGGATAACTGCCCAAACTCAGAAGGGATGCTGCCATTGAGGGAGTTCCGGTAGCAGCTAAACTCTGTCATGTTGGTCAATTGCCCAAGCTGGGTTGGAAGAGACCCTGTGAATGCATTCCTGGACATTTTCAATTCTTCTATGCTGGTCAACCAACCAAGCTCAGATGGTATGCTGCCGTTGAGGGAGTTCCGGTCGATGTCAAGAAGTGTCATGTTGGTCAACAGCCCAAGCTGGGTTGGAAGAGACCTGTGAAAGCGTTCCTGACATTTTCAATTCTTCTATGCTGATCAACCACCCAAGCTCAGATGGTATGCTGCATTGAGGGAGTTCCGGTCGATTCCAAGAAGTGCCATGTTGGTTAACTGTCCAAGCTCGCTTGGAACAGACCCTGTGAAAGTGTTCCCGGACATTTTCAATTCTTCTATGCTGGTCACCAACCAAGCTCAGATGGTATGCTCCTTGAGGGAGTTCGGTAGTCAAGAAGTCATGTTGGTCAACAGCCCAAGCTGGTTGGAAGAGACCCTGTGAAGCGTTCCTGGACATTTTCAATTCTTCTATGCTGATCAACCACCCAAGCTCAGATGGTATGCTGCCATTGAGGGAGTTCCGGTCGATTCCAAGAAGTGCCATGTTGGTTAACTGTCCAAGCTCGCTTGGAACAGACCCTGTGAAAGTGTTCCCGGACATTTTCAATTCTTCCATGCTGGTCAACCACCCAAGCTCAGATGGTATGCTGCCATTGGACATTTTCAATTCTTCCATGCTGGTCAACCACCCAAGCTCAGATGGTATGCTGCCATTGAGGGAGTTCCGGTCGATTTCAAGAAGTGTCATGTTGGTCAACAGCCCAAGCTGGGTTGGAAGAGACCCTGTGAAAGCGTTCCTGGACAGTTTCAATTCTTCCATGCTGGTCAACCACCCAAGCTCAGATGGTATGCTGCCATTGAGGGAGTTCCGGTAGATTTCAAGAAGTGCCATGTTGGTCAACTGCCCAAGCTCGCTCGGAAGAGACCCTGTAAAAGTGTTGGTGTACATTCTGAGCTCTTGTATGCTGGTCAGCCTGCCAACATCGGTCGGTATGCGTCCTTTGAATTTGTTCCTCCCCACTTGAAGGTATGTCAGACTTGTTAGAAGCCCAAGCTCGCTTGGCAGTTTCCCTGTAAGACTGTTGGTGAGCATATTGATCATTGTCAAGTTTCCCACAGTGAAGAGCTCTGATGGCAAAACGGCATCCATTGTACCGCTGACTTCATTATAAGCCAAACTCAAAATGGACAGATCAGTAAGAAGTGCAATCTCAGGTGGAACAGTTGGAGCAAGGTTAGCAAGTTGTAGGCGATGCAGTGCCAGATACTGATATCTGCCATGTTTGTTGCATGGATCAACATCAAAACCCCCATGTTCTCCCGGTAAGTACCATCAAAAAGGACTGACCCAAATTCAGCGGAAAACCAAAGGCACTCATCCTCATGTCTGCCCTCATCTTCCATCCAATCATTCTTGATATCATCAGGCCAGTTGGGGCCCTCAAATGCATAATAAAATGTAGCCAAAGCAAAGAGTTGCTCCTTTCTCCAATCTGGGAGCTTGGTCAGATTCTTGTGGTTCGATAGCCACTGCCAAGCATGCCATTGGGGGTGCTTCTGTTGCCAATGTTCGTAAGCGTAGAGATTGGAAGGTCCATCATGAGTGCATCCAGTGATCTAGTGGGGGCAGAGGATGGAGCTTCTGATGGTTCCATAGAGCCATAAGTAGTTGGTGCAGATGTCTGGATACTGATTGCATCTTTTTGATTCTGTGCTTTTCTAACCACTGTGCCAACAACAATTGCGGCAACGATAAGTGCCAAAACTGAAAACCCAACAAATAGCAATCTCTGCCTCTTCTTTCTTTGTTCCTTTTCCATGACCTCATCAAGATTCACAGGATCTGCTGATGCCATCACTTGCTCCTCTGGATCTTCGACAACCAGCTCTGCCACTGCCAGCTGGCTGTTATTTGTGGTCACATTGCCGCCGTTGATGTTGATGTTGCTCTGCGGTGGTGGTTCCAATGATTCACTCTCAGATTCCATCATCGGTAACTGTGACTCAACATTCGAACCGACAAGTGAGAATCTGAGAGTATTGGCGCGTTGTAGAGCTTCCCCTGGAGCACCCATGTATGCTCCGGGGCGCTGGTGCTGTCTCTGTTGGTGTGGTGGTGGTGGTCGCAAGCCAGTTGGATTGATCACCTCTTGAGTGGTTGTGGGCTGTTCTCCTGCCACTCCTGAGTTATTGTTTGCCATCTTTTCCAATTTGGCAACTTCATTGATTTCGGTTGCCATTTGGAGCACATCGTGGAATTCTTGCCCGTGGTTTTCTTCCTCTAGTTGCTCCACAGTGACCAAATTAGCTTGTTCGGCAACGATCTTCATCATTTCTCTATCCTCTTGGTTGTAGACTTCAGGTTGAGCAGTGTCTTGTTGTCCTTTTGATTTTGTTGGGTTTTCTCTTGCCAAAAAAGCCAGTTGGGCAGGAGAAGACATGGGTGGTTTCCTCTTGGCCTCCATTTTCTGATCCACTTCATCTTCCTCTATGGCAGCGGCCATTGCCTGATCAAGTTGGTTTTGTCGAGCATCCAATTCGGCCCGCTTGAGGAGAATGTCTCTTGTGCTTTCACTCATGTTCTACAAGTATACCTTATGCTTCACTAGCTATATAGATGCAATCAGTCAAAGAAAACCTGTTTGTCTTGTTTCGAACTCGCACGGCACAAATTTCCGAAACAAATTTGTCAACTCAGGGGTGGTTGCTGAATTCGAGAAGTTACTGTGGGTTCGAGCATGGTGAGGATGCATGGTTGTTGCATGCTGTCGACGACGCTGCATGGGGATCGCGCGAGGGGGGACGACAGAAGGTAATAGAATTCTATTTTCCCCCATGCTCTGGCGCGATTGTTGCCACGCAGTTGCGTGCAGAGGCTAGCTAGAGCTATAATAATAGTAGCTTTGATTGGGTCAGAGTGCATGCCAAACATTGGCGACCATGGATGACTTACTGCACTCGTATATCAGTACAGTACGCTGTACACTGTAATTTGAAGCGATTGTTTCAGCTCAGTGCTGCAGTTATTCTCAACCCTACTGTACCAGTACAGAGGTCTCTGAGCTCTGACGTCACCTCCCGCTCTCGAGGATCAAGGAACAACGGAACAACACACAGCAAAAGGCACCTAGACTATGTTAGGGAATTCTCTAGTACTTCTCGTCCTAAAACTCGTCCTAAGCTATTCGTCCTAAGTTTAGGACCAGTTTTTAGGACGAATTGGCAATCTCTAAGAAACTGGTTCTAAAACCAGACTTTCTTTTAAAAGATAGTGCACTACGCTAAAAGCTAGTGTAAAGATCTTTCGAGTGTTTTGAGTTTGAGAGAATGAAAGTTATGAGAGGATTAGAAAGCTATGAAAACTAATCAACGAGAGAGATCCACAATCAAAGGATCGTAGATCTGAACTCCCGCGGGAGACTGTAGTGTGATAGAGTAGGTTGCGCGTAGCAATCCTACTCACTCCACGATCCAAAAACGAACGCGTGGAAGATTCGTCTAGCATTTATCTAGTAGCGTTGGAATCTCTCCACGCCAGCTAATATCTAGCGCGATGTTTCACCATCGACCTAGTATGACTAGCGGTCATGAGAACCCTGTCTCAATGACTATTCACGAAAGACTCAGTCATGAGTCGAACTCAAACCCTATCTAGGATCGAGTCGCGAATAAGGCTAGAAGCCGTGTATTGCATTCGCCCCCGACAAGGGTCACGGAAGGCACGACATCAGTCGGACAAGGAGACATATGAATTAAAGTGCGGGGCACTCTCGGAGATTGGATGTAGACATTGGTCGCACGATGGCAATCTACAAGGGGATCAGGCCTTGTATGGGTGTAAATACCTTATGTTCCAAGTCTGGTAGACTGTTTCTCTCTCTTG